AGAGTAGGTTAGATAAATGTCTATCAGGGATGGTCTAGGCAGTATTTGGTTCTGCCATGAGGGCAGGGGATCGACTCGATGACCTCTCGAGGTCCCTTCCAGTCCTAGAATCTGAGTCTATGAATCCATATAAAACAGAAAAATCTCTTTATCCTAGTAGTTCTGAAATCCTAGAATCCCAAAAATGTAGGGTTAGAAGGGATCTCAAGAGGTCATCTAGTTTAGCCCCCTGCACAGAGGCAGGACCAACTATGCCTAGACCATTCTGACAGGTTTTTGTCTAACCCAGTGGTTCTCAAACTGTAGGTTGGGACTCCAAATGGGGTCGCCATGGCTGGCTTAGACTTGCTGGGCTCAGGGCTGAAGCCCTGGGTGGCAGGGCTCAGGTTGCAGGCCCCTTGCCTGGGGCTGAAGCCCTTGAGTGTCAGCTTTGGCCCCTCTGCCCAGAGCAGCGAGGCTCCGGATTTGGCCCTCCCACCCAGGACAGTGGGGCTTGGGCAGGCTCAGATGTATTTATAGAACCTCTTCTTATTGGCTTTTATATCCCTTTGCTAGGTGTAACTCATTTTGTGTCTTAGCCTTTGTAAGTTTGTCCCTCATACTTGTGCTAATCATTTGTATTAGCAATTAGTCTCTGTTTCCACTTTTTGTAGGATTCCTTTTAGACTTTTCAGGTGTTAAAGAGGTCTTAATGAAGCCATATTGGCTTCAGATTGTTCTATGTTTACTTCACATTGGGATAGTTTGCTGGTGTGCCTTTAATATTAACTCTTTGAGAAACTATCAGCTCTCCTGAGCTCCTTTATCGTTTTGATTCTCCCCTCCCACCCCCATGGAACCCTTCATACCAGTTATCTGAGTTTAAGGTAATCTTTATTGAAATCCAGTAGATGTGATATATCTGGATATTAATAAGGCTTTTGAGACAGTCTCACATGACATTCTCATAAGCAAATTATGGAAATATGCTCTAGATTAATTTATATAAGGTGGTTGCATCACTTTTTGTCATGATGGCTTGAGCCAATGATGGTCCATAGAGCACTCGGTGGTGGTCTGCAGAAAGCTGGCTGATCACATGATTTTAATCTTCACGATATCCATCTGCTATATCCTATTTAAAAAATGGAAAAAAATACACTAAAGACTTTCCTGATAATAAATCTTCCTGGAAGCACTTGTTGTAGATGCCACAGATGTTAAGTTCGCTAATCGCAGCAGGGGGTGATCCCTGAGACAGTCTCTCTGCTAAGATGTGGTCCACACTCTGAAAAGGTTGGGAACCTTGATCTATCTGAAATGACTTTTTATGGTACTAAAGATCTATTTAATGTTGATGGAAACAGGATGCATACCACCTAACATTATCAGGATAAAAACAAACCCCTTCTGAATGTAGAAAGCTTTTTGTTTTATCATCACCTATGTCCCAGACCAGTGACCTTCAGTAGTTAACCTATAAATTAAAGTTCCTAATCCGTGCTTCTGCAAATGACATTTCTGTCTCTGAAAGTTACTGGAAGACATTTTTGTCTGCTCCTTAATTGCTAAGAATATTCAGTTTTTAATCCAGTTACCTTGGGTTTTTTACTGTTTTGTTTTTTAAAAACTAGTTTTAAAATACCATGTGACATTCCAAGTCTTAGGTATGTCTACACTAGGTCTGGAAGGTGTAAATTTCACTTTGAGGAAATATACTCGCTCTAGGTCTGATTGAGCTAATGTGCTAAAAATAGATGAGCAGCGTCCCTAAATACAATCCTGCCCTAGATTATAGGTACATACTAGGGGAAGCTAGCCCCTCATGCTGCCACAGCTACATTTTCATATTTAGTGGGCTAACTAGATCAGAATTAGTGCAAGTATGTCTCCTTCAGCTAGAATTTACAGCTCCAGTGTAGACATTCCCTTAGACTGGAATCTTTTAGTAGACTTTGTTGGGCTTGATTATTCACTCTCTTACAGCAGCACACATTTGATTTAAATTATGTTACTCCTGATTTCAATGGAGAATTAGATCCTTTGTCCCCCCACCCCGCCTCCTTTTATAAACTGAATATGCCCAGTTTTTAAAATCTAATCTCTCAAACTCTTTGTCACTCACATTATTCATCTTTGTGATTTCCAATTTGTCAGTTTTACTTTAAATGTGGAGACCAAAGCTGCACCAACTCTAAACTGTTAGGTACCATGCACAAGAAACTGTTTAAAAAATGTGTATGTTTATTCTTGCAGACATCAGGAATACATAAACTGTTGAATTTTCTCTTATTTATGGAAACTTTGGCTAACCAGAGTATTGCTGGAAATATTGCTTATTTAGTAGATAGATCCCATGGTGAACATTCGCTGTTGTTTAATTTCGAAAAAAGAATCGGTTACCATTTCATTATTGCACAAGGTTGTAAAAATCTCATTTAATATATCTGCTTCCAAAATATGGTTAGATTATAAACCCATAATTTCTGTATAAAGAAATAATTAAACAAATAAATAAAGAGAAAATTAAATTCTGAAGGCAGGAAATCTGTTTGAACTGATTTTAGAAAAGTTGTGTTCTTTGTCACCAAGCCAAGTGGCACAGACAACAAAGACGTAAACAAATTAATTTTGGTTTTATAGACTAACTCTGTCAGTTTGAAGAATATAAAAATTCTTCAAAGAAGTTTTCCCTCTGCCATATATAAGAAGGGTAGAAATTCAGCCATTGTTCAGCAGTGCCTTTTGCTGTATGTATCCTGAAAGCATGTCATGCGTACTCATTTTGTTCTTCCTTCAAGCTAAGTATTCTTGAATACCTTAATAAAATGAAAGAGTTTTTTTTAAATGCTTTTCTTTCTTGTGCTACTAGTGAAGAATGTATTATTTTGTATGACAGTGAAAATATGCCAACCCAGAGGAGAAAGTATGATTTAATGGTTAAAACTTTCTTGTCAATGAACTAGGAATTCCAGGTTCTGTTACTGCACTGGCTCATTTAATGAAGCCTATTTTCAAAATTATCCTTCAAAGCATTTTGAGTGTCCAATTGCAGACATATCATGCCTTATTTTCATAGCGGCCAAGCATCTCCAACTGCAGTTGAAGTCAGTGAAGGCTGTAGGTGCTTACTTTCCCTCAAAGCAGGGCCCTTGCTCTCTAAACTGGGATACCTCAAAATTACCAGACACTGCTGAAAATCTGGCTCTACGCTTTTTTGTGCCTGAGGTTTCCCATCTATTAAATGGAGATAATAATACTCACCTATCTCTGAATGGTATTCAAAGTCTTTATTAACTAATGTTCATAAATCACTTTGAGAGCCTCAGATGAAAGCACCTATATAAGTGCAAAGCATTATTTTTATTATTCTGAAATATACTGATGATATAATTTATTAAATTGTGCCAGTGATTAAAAGATACCAGCATACTTTCTTCGGTTTTTGAATAAGATCTACAAGAGCTTCCCCAGGGTGACATAATGTCTACAATCCTCTATTGAAAAATAGGTGCCTTCCAGTTTGCAGCCTT